GTGGGGTAAAAGCTTTAGAAAAAACAAAGCCTACCCCTGCACTCTTGGAGGTGCCGTGACTCAAAATCACCTCCCCCCTCCACTCTCTACCCCAGTCCGTTTCGATCAAGTGATCGCTGTGCGTTTCTTGTAGGAAAATAACATCAATTCTTTTTTGATTCAACATCTGATACACTAAAGCACGTTTTTTAGCCTCCCTCGCCCCGTTAAGATTCAAAGATGCAATTTTAAAAGAATCCATAATGAGTAAAAGGCTAAAAGCAACGTACAAAAAACCAATAAGAAATATTAAAAAGCTACTGTGTATCATAAAAGCTGTTTTCTGACTTTGGTCATTATTTTCTTTAATCTAAAAACTTCTGTATCTGTAAAACCTGACACTTCTTTGTGTTTTACATAATGCCTCGCAGAGGAACAAAATATACTTAAATCTGGGAAGAAACTTTCAATTTTTATTCCTCTTAATCCTTTAGTTTGTTTTAAAAAGGTTCTGAATATTTCCACTGGGTATCTTGGTTCTTTGATAACTTGTGACACAGAGGCCTCACTGGTGTCGGAAAACCAGCTCTCTTCATCGCTGCTCTCTGACATTTCTTTCCTCTCCCCAGCTAACTTGCTGGCCTGTTTACTAGCCTGCTCAGCAGTCACCACATTTCTTCTCTTGCTACGTCTCTTTGTTGGAGTACAAACCTCTAAATCCATCTCCTCCTCTGCCTCACCCATATCCCTCCCTGTTCCACCTCCTATAACTGACTTTTCACTATTTTGTCCTTTAACCTGTCCATCCGCCTGCACCTCTCCTCTCTCCCCTTATCTCCACATACTAGATGCTCCACATCATCCTTCACCCCCTCCTGCCCTTCCTGCACATCACCTCCCTCGCCCTCTACATTCTCGCCTACACCACCAATCATCCCACCACCATTCACCACCGTGCTCTCATCCTCTCCAACACACACACTTCTACCACTGTCCTCCACTGACTCCTCAACAATGGCTTCTGCCAACACCTCCTCCACTACCTCCAGCTCCCCCGCCACCGCAGCGGCAGGTTCCCCCGCCACCGCAGCGGCAGGTTCCCCCGCCACCGCAGCGGCAGGTTCCCCCGCCACCGCAGCGGCAGGTTCCCCCGCACCGGCAGCGGCAGGTTCCCCCGCCACCGCAGCGGCAGGTTCCCCCGCCCCCGCCCCCCCGCCCCCGCCACCCCCCGCCCCCCCGCGCCCCCCGCCACCGCCCCCCCCGCCACCGCCCCCCCCCGCCAATGCCCAGCAGCAGCAGACTGCTGCTGAGCTGAGTCCGGCCTAGCCGGCTCTGCCTTATCAGGGCACATCTTTATAACGTGGCCCTCCTGTCCACATCCAAAACACCTCATTTGACCCGATGTGGCAAACAGCACATAATCAAAATCGTCCACTCTAACATGAAAACGTAAGTTCATTTCTTCATCTTTTCTATTCAGAATCATGAAAAGTTGTCTCCGGTGGGAGACAACATGTTTCAGTAGTGGTGATTTACACCCGGAAGGGATTTTCTTTACTGGCGACACCACTTTGCCGTGTCTTGATAGTTCTTTAATCAAGAACTCGTCGCTAATGAATGGAGGAACATTTGACAACATTACCTTAGTGGCTGGTAACGTGAGAGGTGAGACTTGTAAAAACAAACCGTTCACCGTGACACCCTTTTCCACCACCTGTTGTGCATGTTCCACTCGCTCAACAAACAACACCACTGCCCCATTCATACGTGCAGCCGACCTTATGTTCCCGTGTCCAATCATCTCACCCACCGCCAAACAAACTTCCTCCACGCTGCACGGAGAGCCGGCACCCACCTTGATGCCGTTCTTCCGTGTCAGCGTGGAAAAAGACCCACCACCGCTAACACCCACCATTGTTGCCGTCAGACGCCGGCAAGCCAGGCACGCCCGACGGCCACACCCCAAACAAACGAACAAAAACCCCTTAAAACGTGATAAAACTAAACACAAGAAAAAACAATTAAACAAGTAAACCAAACACCCAGAAAAACAGTAAGAAAAAGATAAAGAAAAGATATTCAAGCACTCTTGCTTTCACTCTTCCTCCGCTCCTCCTCACACACCCTCCTCTCACTCGAAGAAGAGAAAAAAATAAGAAGAAGAAGAAGAAGAAGAAGAAGAAGAAGAGAAGAAGAAGAAGAAGAAGAAGAAGAAGAAGAAGAAGAAGAAGAAGGCGGGGAAGATGAAAACAGAGCACGCGGGCTCGCTTTAACTTTTCCTTTGGAGAAGAGTTTGAGGTTCAACTAATTTTTTCCGTGTTTTCAGTGAAAATGTCTTCAGTTCAGCCTCAGAGAGTTTATCAAGCAGCAGGAAACTCCTGCTGAAGAAACATTCACAGAGTGGAAAGAAATCAACGTTAAGATGGAGGAAGAGATGGACGATCAGCGCAGACTGATGGATTTTACCCGGATACCCAAGATCATCTTGCACCGGATAGGTAAGAAACAGCTTCACGGTTTACTGATTAGTCAGGTTAAAGAGAGTTTTTACAGATAAATAATCGTTCTGTTCGTAGACATATTTAAAGAATCTGCTTAAATTAAGTAAAAATAGAAAATCCCTGGAGAAATGTAACCAGGGCCTGCTAAAGTGTGGCCCCAGTTTAGACCCAGCGCTCTGATTCTAACAATTAGCATCAATGCTCAGCTAAACTGAATTATAGTCAATAGCCTGTGGAAAGTCACAAGCATGTTGACTAACATGGACTTCCTCCATTCAGTTTGTTAAAATTAGTGTATAATCTAAAATGAGCCAAAATGCTAATGTTAGCCTAAATGCTGCTAGTAGCATGTGGGGCATCATTACAATGTGGTCTTACATTGACTTCCTGCATTCAGGGTCCTAAACATGGCTAATAAGTAATAAAAATAGCTAGAAGCTTATTTCAGGGAAAAGGCTGATGCTTGTGCAGCAAAGCAGAGCCCTAACCTGAGAGGAAAAGATCATGCAGGCTAATATTATTGCACTGTCTCTGAGTCGGTTTCTCTTCGCAATATTTATTAACCTATTTGTATGATTTGTTCTGTAAATTGCCATTCATATTATTTCTCAGTCTCTATCACTGAGGGATGAAGAGACTGATGTCTGGTTCTTTAGGTTCTGACGGGTCTGCGGTTCCTCTCCTGACCCACTGTGCACCCTGAATATCGCCGACACAGTTTTTTAATTCCCCTATCAAACTTCTCTGTGATTGTTTAGCCTAGAATGTGCATCTTCCAATGTTATGTTATTTGATGTTATTGTTACAGGTCAGTTTTCTAAACTACAAAGAAATGACTGTTAGGGATGCTCCAATATGAAAAATTGGATTGATATTGATATCTGATAGTAACACTGGTGTTATAGCAGATTTACCATATTTTATTTTATATACGTTTTTAATCCGATTACTTGATTAATCATAAGAATAATTAATAGATTACTCAATTACTGAAATAGTTGTTTACAGCAACGCTACTATCCATCCAGTTATCACTAGAAAATATTTATTGACTTTCTCTTTTATCTTGTCACATATGCTGAGCTGACAGCGCCTCTTAATGCTCATTTGTACTCAATGCATGTCAGCTATTCTGACAGAATAACTGCTCAAATTTAAGTTAAAGAAGGTCAGTGTTAGACCCGCCCAAAGCCCGCCCTCCACTTTCATTGGGGAATTATTTTATGGTGACACGACAGGAAGTGGATCCAGGTGATAATAATGATCACAACAATCAAAAGCATATTTAATAATTGTCTTGTCTGGCTGCTAAGTTTCCATTTTCATAATGTAAACTTAGTAAATGACTTATTAACTAACTTGTGTCTTAAATAAACTCGTTAAATAATTTTATCATTGTACATTTTCACCTTTCATATTTAATCTTCCAAATTGTCCAATATTCATGTCAAATATTTTCAATTGGTTCATTTTGCCATTATTTTCTGCATGTGTGCGATTAACAACAATCACCCAATGCTACCAATTCTGCTGTGAATCCCAGGAAAGTAAAGGCTGAGATTTAGTTGTGCTTTTGAACGTTTGTGTTGAGTGTGTGAGCGGAGCAATGTCTGACAATATCAGCGGGTGAGATTAAAAATTACTTTATGGTTTCCCTTTAGGCATTTTATGTCACTCTTTAATGTGATATATATCTGGTGACATATAATGGGTGCACTTCCCCTGCGCCCATTACAAGCACACAGCCCGCATCACCACCAGCGTTGGTCCACAATCTCCCAGTCGGATTGCGACACCGTGTGTGTGGTCAGGGTACACGTCCAAAAGTCAGGTGACCTGAACATCTGACTCCTCCTCCATGTAGGTGTCTTCTTCCTCTCTCTACATGGAGGAAGAAGATTTTATGTAATATTTGTCAGGAAGCTACTAGATTAAGCTATTGCCATCTTATTTGCTCACCTGGAGATCCTTAATATCATATTTTGACTCAAGAATAGTTCCAGTCTGGTCATTAGAATGGAGCTATGACCAGAATGAAACTAGTTCTGGTCATAGTTCCATTCTAGAACATCCAATGTTCTAGAACATAGAACATTAACTTCTTAGTTGAGTTAATGTTCATTCTTGTAAGATTGTAATTTTAGAATAACCTAAGAAAATCCTGTTTCGATACATGAAGGCATCAAAGTGGATTTCTTGTTTGATTGACATTTAAAAAACTTTTTTTTTTTGTCTATTTCCCAGATCTTCCACAATGTTGTGTGTGAAGAAGAGGAGATTCTCAATGACACAAAACCACAGAGGAACCAACTCATCTCTCATGGCTCTGCAGAAACTGAGAACCAGAATCAGGAAGGAAGCAATTCTGAAGACCCAGGAAAAAAGAGAAAGGAAGAACAGAAACCAAAGGAGAGATATGAGAAAACCAAACAGCAGAAAGACAGAACTGATGCTGAAAAACAAAAACCGCAGCAGAAAACTCACAAAGGGCAAAAAATACATTCTTGTAAAATTTGTGATAAAACCTTTTCTGGAAACAGTAACTTGAAGACACACATGAGAATTCACACAGGAGTAAAACCTTTCACTTGTTCAACCTGTGGAAAGAGTTTCAATGAAAGAGGGACTTTAACTAAACATATGAGAATTCACACAGGTGAGAAGCCTTTCACTTGTTCAACCTGTGGAAAGAGTTTCAGTGACAGAGGGACTTTAACTTGGCATATGAGAATTCACACAGGTGAGAAGCCTTTCTCATGTGAGACCTGTGGAAAGAGTTTCAATGTAAAAACGGCTTTAACTCAGCATATGATAATTCACACAGGTGAAAATCCTTTCTCATGTGGGACTTGTGGAAAGAGTTACAGACAAAAAACGACTTTAACTAAGCATATGAGAATTCACACAGGTGAGAAGCCTTTCACTTGTTCAACCTGTGGAAAGAGTTTCAGTGTAAAAGCGAATTTAACTGCGCATATGAGAATTCATACAGGTGAGAAGCCTTTCTCATGTGGGACTTGTGGAAAGAGTTACAGACAAAAAACGACTTTAACTAGGCATATGAGAATTCACACAGGTGAGAAGCCTTTCATTTGTTCAACCTGTGGAAAGAGTTTCAGTGACAGAGTTACTTTAACTCGGCATATGAGAAGTCACACAGGTGAGAAGCCTTTCTGGTGTGAGACCTGTGGAAAGAGTTTCAGTGTCAGAGGGACTTTAACTCGGCATATGAGAATTCATACAGGTGAGAAGCCTTTCTCATGTGGGACCTGTGGAAAGAGTTTCAGGATGAAACAACAATTACTTAAACACATAAAGATTCATATGGATGCAAAACAGTGACGTGCGGTGAGGCTTTACGATGTATAAATACAGACACCATGTATGTTATTGGTTACTCAGAAATTTTGCTCATGCATACAACGCTGGAGGGCAGAAAGACCGTTCTTTTACACGTCATCCATAGCTGTAGTAACCAGGTGAAACTTAGAAATGTAGGTATTGTTTCGTGTTATGATCCACAGCAAAGGGAGAAACCTAAACCACTTTCTCACTCTGCATCACCCAAGCTACATGCAGACTCGTTGCAATAGCAACTGATAACAATGCCATGTTTTAGGATTTAACATAAAAAAATAAAGAATTTTGGTCACAGAACAGAACATTGAGTTTTTTGCAGTAGTTTGTTTTAGTCTTAGTGTTTTATTAATAAATCATTGCTGTGGTAGATTAGCTAACATTTCTACTTTACTGAATTCTTTAGACATACAGACTGTGGCCCACAAAATGCACATTTCATTAAAAAACTAAACAAAAACATGTTTTTTCCCATCTTACCTTTACTTATAAATTAAATCCATAACAATTCTGCACAAAAATATCCATTCATCCAAAGCCAAGTCGATGCTCTGAATGTCTTGTACTAAATTAGACTTGAGGTCCATTTTTGTCTACCAGCTTTGTTTTTCTAAAATCAGTTTTTTGTTTTATTTCTCAGTCACATTTGTACTTAAGGTTCCCATCAGTGTCCCATTAGATACTGAAGTTAAAGAGGGGAATGTCTTCAGGAAGGTTTAATTTCTGTGGATTTCAGGTGTCTTGCAGTTATGTGTCATGTAGTTATTGAGTTCAGCTTTTACATTGTTGACTTTTACATGTATGACTTGAAATAAAGTATTTTACATTTTAAAGCAGTGTTATTCTTTTTTCCCATAAATTGCTGGGTTTCAGATGATGGAGCACCGATGCCTTACCATGGAGGGGGGGTCAGAAAGTAAATGCAGCACATTTAGGCATTTTGACTTAAACATCAAAATGTCTTAAGTCTGTGCCATGTGTGGTTGTTCCAACCATTCTAATAGAGAGAAAGAAAAACTTTATCTTTGTGTTTTGAAGGTAGTCGGTCACAAGGAAGTTAATTTAGAAAAAACTCACCTAACAAAGAGAAAAGTGGATCAACAATCTACAGCTAAAACCAGGAGGTGCAGGAAGTAATAATGCCGGAGTTTGCAGAGCCACTTTTCTAACATCGTTTAAATTGTATTTTCAGATATTTTATTGGATGGTAACTTAGAAAGACAAGCATTCATATGCAGGCACATGCAGAGGGGGTCTGGAGAGGGCTTGAGCCCTGCCCCTTTTACCCTTGATGCCCCCAGAGCCCTTTTTGGGTTTATTTTTGTTTTCAACTTGAGTCTTTTGTGTCAGGAGGCCTTCTTGTGCCTCTAAATATAACACCTAGCAAAACTAATGAGTCTGGCTGCCCTTGGTCTAATTATGAGGATTCCCAGTCCTTCTGCCTCCACGTTGTTCAGACACCGGGTCCGTGGCGAGGAAGAGCGGGGCTGAACTGTGACCTCTAACGGTCAACTTTTGGGCAATAATTAATTTTTCTAACGTACACTTGTGAATAAAAACATAGGTCTGATGTTGAAGTTATAAAACCAGTTTCTATTTATATTTTGTAATAATGTCTGGAGGGCCCCTACCAGCAGCTACTGGGTTCTCTTTGTTTACCTTGATATCTCAGCCTTATAATTCTAGATCTCAGAGGTGCTGAAATCAAATTAATGACATGTGAGAAGTTAACTGTTTATATATGAAGGTTTTTCTGATTTACTTTTTGTTTCAAACAGGTTTTATTTCAGTCTCTATGTTTATGTAAATCGATTCTGTCACAGTCTTGACTAAACAGAAAAATAGAAAAAGACCATCATTATGATACTTTATCATCTAAAATTATAGAAAAAGTTTCAATGATTTTTTTTATCTGAAATTCAATCCACATCATCAAACCATTTTGTAAGGAGAAAATTTATTTAAAACCATGTCAAAGAAATGCATCCATTTCTCCAAATCATTAAAATAAAAATATGTACAAAGGATAAAAAACACAATAAAGACTCCAAAATTTCAGAAGTCTAAATCTCAAAGCATTCAAAACTCATTGTTTGTTAGACAATCTCTCCCTCAGTCTCATTCAATAAAATGGAAATATAAAACTGGCAGAATAAAATTTTTAAGAATTTCAGCTAAATATCCAGATTAAAATGCTTTGTAAGCAAAACCTGCTACATTTAAGAATTTAAGTCGGTTGCAATTACTCCACTTCCAAACAGCAACTTACTGAGAATCTTGAGGTTCACATTGTGCCATCAAACCTGTGCAAGTTCTCATTTGAACAGTTACATTTATTTAGAGTGAACCTTTTTCTACTGAATCTACAAAATAAAAGCTTCCAACCCGTGTGAATCTTCATGTGATGACTTAAACTGGATCTATACACAAAACATTTTCCTCGCTTTTCACTAAGGGTGCAGACATGACATGGTGAGCTGGTCTAATAGTCAAACCTCACAGCGGAGAACAGAACAGTGGCTGAGGTCAATAACGTTGAGGAATCAGATCAGCTTCACATGCATGTATCTGCTGCTCACCAATGTCCCAAAATTAAGGAAATCAACATTTATGAATCAGCCAGATGATAAATCAATGCACAGCTACTTCTCACCTGTGTGAATTCTGTTGTGAGAAGTTAAGTTCTGTTTTTGACTGAAACCTTTTTCACAAATCCCACATGAGAAAGGCTTCTCACCAGTGTGAATTCTCCTGTGACGTTTTAAACTTTTTTTATAAGGGAAACTTTTTCCACAAATCCCACATGAGAAAGGTTTCTCACCTGTGTGAGATCTCATGTGATGAACTAATTGATATCCAGTCAAACAATTTCTTCCACAAGTGCCACAAGTGATAACCTTCTCACCCGTGTGAGATCTCATGTGAAGAGTTAAACTTTCCTTTCGAGTGAAACTTTTTCCACAGTTCTCACATGAGAACGGTATCTCACCCATGTGAGATCTCATGTGATGAACTAATTGATATCCAGTCAAACAATTTCTTCCACAAGTGATAACCTTCTCACCTGTGTGAGATCTCATGTGAAGAGTTAAACTATGCTTTTGAGTGAAACTTTTTCCACAGGTCTCACATGAGAAAGGTTTCTCACCCGTGTGAACTCTGATGTGAATAGCTAACTGAGGTTTCCTCCGGAAACGTTTCCCACAGGTCTCACAAAAGAACGGTTTCTCACCTGTATGAATCTCAATATGAGCAAGTAAATGAGATTTAAACAAAAAACTTTTCCCACAGATTGTGCAGGTGTAACGTTTCTCACCCGAATGAATTCTCTTGTGTCTTTTTAAAGAGTCGTTTAGACGGAAACCTTTTCCACAAGCTGGACAAGTGAACGGTTTTTCACCTGTATGAATTCTCATGTGATCAATTAAACGACTCTTTAGGGTAACGTTTTCCACAGGTGGAACATTTGAAAGGTTTCTTAGCCATGTGAGTTTTCTTGTGATTCATCAAGGAACTATTTTGAGAAAGGTTTTTATCACAAATTTGACAAGAATATAGATTTTGGTCTGGCTGAGCTTTCATGTGCGTTTCTTGTTCTGAAGTCTCTGTTGAGTTTTTCTGCTGTTTGTTCAAAATGTCATCAGTTTCCTGTTCATCACAAGATGCTCTTCATCCTGACTGATGCAAAGTTGCTCCTCTTCCTCTTTGATCTGCAGAAGTTCTGGTTCTTTTCGGTCCAGTTTCATCTGCAGAGGTTCTGGTTCCTCTTGATCCTGTTTTATCTGCAGAGGTTCTGGTTCCTCTTGTTCCAGTTTCATCTGCAGAGGTTCTGGTTCCTCTTGTTCCAGTTTATCTGCAGAGGTTCTGGTTCCTCTTGATCCAGTTTCATCTGCAGAGGTTCTGGTTCCTCTTGTTCCAGTTTCATCTGCAGAGGTTCTGGTTCTGGTTCCTCTTGTTCCTGTTTCATCTGCAGAGGTTCTGGTTCATCTTGATCCAGTTTCATCTGCAGAGGTTCTGGTTCCTCTTGTTCCAGTTTTATCTGCAGAGGTTCTGGTTCCTCTTGTTCCAGTTTTATCTGCAGAGGTTCTGGATGATCTTGATCCAGTTTCATCTGCAGAGGTTCTGGTTCCTCTTGTTCCAGTTTATCTGCAGAGGTTCTGGTTCCTCTTGATCCAGTTTCATCTGCAGAGGTTCTGGTTCCTCTTGTTCCAGTTTTATCTGCAGAGGTTCTGGATGATCTTGATCTGAAGTGAAGTTTCTCTCCGGGTTTCTGAGCTCATTTAGATCCTCCCCCTCTTTGCACACACTGCATTGTGGGAGATCTGGACAAAAAAGTCAAAATGTGAGGTCACACAATGAACTCTTCAGTTTAATTAACTAAAACTAAAATGAAAATATTCCTCAGCAGGGGTCGTGCTGTGGTAGCACAACCCACGATTGGAGGCCTTCAATCCTCCACACGGCCGTCACGGGTTTGATTTCCGGATCCGACTTTATTTGCCGCATGTCTTTCCTTACTACATTCCTGTCAGCCTTCTTTCTTATAAGGGACACTAGAGCCCACAGAAACCCCAGGAGAGGAAATGTATATATATCAATCAGCAAACATTATAAAATGAAATCTCTTCCATCGTCTTTCAGAGAGATTGTTATTTACCTTATTTAGAATAAACAATGTCTGCATGTGGTTAATAAATTTACCGTCAATTAAACCTTAGTGCCGTCAAATATGCAGTCTGGCTAGCTGACGTTAACTCCCCTTCAAGATTCGCTTCTCACCAACAGGGACGTTACACCTTCTGTGACCACTGCACATTGTGACTGTAGGAGGCGCTGTTGCAGGTTTTCATCATACTTTGCTATTCTTATGGACACAGAATATGATGGCGCTTATCAAATAATGGTCCCACACTGTAACTTACAGTAAAGTAC